TTCGCCCAACACGTTTTTGTTGGGGCATCTTCGGCATCTTCCGGCGGCTTTGGCGTTCTTCGCCCCTTTGGGCGTCCTCATGCCATGCCATCCCCATTCTCTACTTTCTCCATCTGTCATCCTACCACCCCGTTTTTCTCCGTTCTTTCATCTCCTTCTAGCGTTCCCTTCGCATTTTCCCCTTTTCCATGCACTTGTCTTGCTTTTGTTTAGTTATCGCTTTGTGGATTTACGTTCCCTTCCCTTCCCTTGCATGCTGAGAGAGAATATGTTGTTTCTCCACAGACCCTCGTGATCTCTAAAACACATCTCCTATCTCCACCTTCCAATCCCAGTTCATCCATCTACAATCTGTCAATAGGAATTATTTTATAGTTATGTGTTAAGGATGCAGGTTGCTTATATAAAAGAATATTTTATGTGATAAAGATAAAAGAAAACCCAAACCCCCCCAGTGCTACAGCTGTAACGTTCTGAATGCAGATGTTCTTTGAGCACGTATAGTGATGTACAAAGATGTAGGTTTCTAGATCTGTTGCTGTAGAGACAGGCATGAGAGATTCATCTGAGGGGAGTCAGTGCGTCAATAATCTGACAGGGTGGGGGAATCTGCAAACTATTAAGGTACTCAGGGGTCATCAGGGAATGTGACACCTTAGGGTGCTTCCCGTGCTTTGGAAGAGGTAGGGCTACAGGGCGGATGCACCGCAGAGCTGTGTGTACACTGACATTGGCAGGGGCGTTTATTTGTACTGCTCTGGTTCCATGCGGCCCGGTGGCAAGGAAAGGCCCCTCATGCTCTGGATTCTCTCTCTCCTTTGTGAATTTGCACTTGGAAACATCTACCCACCTTTGGCAAATTTTTTTAGATTTACAGGAGCTTTCTTGAAGCTGGTAGGAGTCTGTATCCTAAAAATATTCCCAAAATGTTTTTCTATTCTCCAGCAACTCATTTCCTGAGAAATCAGATTGGTGATTCCCAAGTTGCAGGTGGATGCAGCAAAGGATTTATCTCTCTACCATCAGCTTGTTACCCCAGCAACAGGGCACATTTGGCATTTATAGCTATGGATTTCCACCTCGGTGGTGTGGCGCATGGACTAGAGCCGTAGAGAATGGAAGCTGGAGGGGACAATGGAGGGGTAGGGGGAGACGTGGGCACTTGCATACAGGGAGGATTCCACCTGCATACTGAGCAGGATGGATGTTTCTCTGGGTTTCCTACGCAATGCTTTATAATCTCAATCAATACGGTGATGGAGAAGTGCCAACCCACACTCTTCACTGCTACACCAGGCTGGGTCTGCCCACTCTGCCCTGCTGGGGCATCCCCACTCTGACCTGTCACCCTGCCTGCTAGCCCACCACCCACCTCTGGCAGCATTCCCTGGCCTCGGAGTGCAGAAGTGCTTGGTTGTTCAGGATACTACCCCTCTTGAGTCAACACATCAGGCCAAGCCAATACTGCATTTCAGAGGACACTGTGCTGCAGAGAATGGATTCACATATTAGAAGTAGTGCCCTTGAGGGGAATGGCTCTGTATCCTACTCTCCACCAGCTCTAAGCCATGCTATGCTCAAAGTATTGCTGGGTTGTAATAAATCTTGGTCTCCAGGGGGTGGGAGAGTGGGGGATTATCTGGGAATAGGGGTTGTAACTAGGCCATGTAATATAATCTCTGAGGCCCATTTGGCAGGGAGTGGGCATGGGGGAGGGGTTTTTAATTTGTAATGATTTTTTTTCTCTCTCCCCTCCCTTCCCTCCCCCCCACCCCTTTATTTCTCCCTTTCCCTGCCCCGGAGCCTGTGTGATAAAGATTAATTTGCTATTTCTGGGCCTGTGACATTTTTCAGAGCCTCCTGCTGGCTGCTGCCTCCATGCCAAGCCTGGCTGGGCTCCAGCCAACAGGATTAGCAAGGAGGGGCCAAGGGAATATGGTGCTCACCATGGAGTGGGGAAGGATGGAGCAAGGCACTCTCAGAGGAGGTTATTATGTGCATAGGATGTCTGCCTGGAAGTGTACCTGGGTATATGTGTGTAGGTCCTGGGCCTTAGTCTAGAGGATGCACACACAAGTACTAATGGCTGCATGCAAGACTTGTTCCCTGGGGACACCCCAAGGGAAGATGTAGCCTAGGTCCTTTAATTATGGCTTCATTGAGCTAAAGGATTTAGCATTTGGAATATGTCTCCAGGGTCAGGCTACTTTTGCCTCTGGAGTTCACTTTCTTTTTTAACTGCTCCAGCTTTCCTGGGCACCCATATGCTTCTCTACATATTTATGATAAGATAGTAATGAGGAGACCAGAAGGAACACGTTGTTTCTAATGAGTCTCCCAAGAGCAGAACTAAATAAAGATAACTTCTTCCTCCCAGCCTATTTTAGACTTCTTTATTTCCGTAGAAGAAGGTGGGGAGGGGTGGTTGTTACTTGCCACTGAATAATATTCTGCTTGTTTTCCACTGAATCTGCTATTGGTGGCTAATATATTCCTGTCCTTCATCCCTTGCCCCAAATCCACTTCAGCAAACAAGCACAAACCCTGGATTGAAGCCGAGTATCAGGGCATCGTCATGGAGAATGACAACACAGTCCTGCTCAACCCACCGCTATTCGCTCTGGACAAAGATGCTCCACTGCGCTATGCAGGTAGGTGGATAAGAGCTCTGAAAGGGTGGGAGGTAGGGACAGACTTATGAAGAGGCAGAGACAGGGTGACATTCACCCCTATGCTGGATCCTAGCTCTCTCCAGGAAACGATCACCTCCAGACCTTGTTCCAAAGGAGGTCCCTAGTGAAGTCTGGAGGCAATTTGGGCACAGCTTGATTTAGGATGCTGTGAGCTGTTTCCTCAGGGAGAGAAATTGAGGGTGGAGTCAGCTACTTTTTGACGCAGTTCTGCTATTTCCAAAGATCACATGCACAGTGCTGTGTCTGTGAGCCCTGGAGAAAGCTGGTAGGGCACACTTGGTTGGCAGTGCTACATCCTCTCGCAGTAAGCACAAATGCCTTTTACAACAGATGAGGTTTTACAAGGGTTATATTCCTAATGCTTGCTTAGGCCATGCCTGGAGCTTCCTCATGCATCCTCTCGCAGCTTTGGGAGAGGAAAAGTGGTCCCTCTGAGCTGAATTTTAGGATTTAGTGACCCTATCTGCAGTTCCCTGCGGTACTCTGCGCCTCCTGCATGTGTGGGTGGATGAGACATCATGGATCTACATGCTCTGGCTGTCTATTTGCAGTATATGGCCTGTTTTACCTCACTGAGGGCTGCAAAGGAGAGATAAGGTGCTCCCTTCAGGACTGTGGCTGTGTAGCACTAACACATGTAGTTTGAGCCTTGTAACCTCTAATCCTTTGTGATGCTGGTCAGCACTCCTTGCCGTGGGAGTAGTCTCCAGTAGATGGCAATCTGCACCATTAATGGCTGTAGGGGATAGCAGGAGGAACACCTAGTGAACTAAAAATTGTTCAAAATGAAGGGTGATAATGAGGAAGAATGGAGAGTGCAAGTTAGAAAGGAAGAAAATATGGAAAAGGAAACCAAGGGGTATGATGTGCTCTCCTCAGTTCTTTTCTTTCTCCCCTTCTTCTCTGCTTTTGTGTGTACCAGGTGAAATCTGTGGCTTCAGGATTCATGGGTCAGGGGTACCTTTTGAAGCTGTGATCCTGGACAAAGCTACGGGTGAGGGGCTCATCCGGGCCAAGGAACCAGTGGATTGTGAAGCACACAAGGAGCACACATTCACCATCCAGGCTTATGACTGTGGAGAGGGACCTGATGGAGCAAATACCAAGAAATCACACAAGTAAGTTCATGCAGACATTGCTGCGTGTTACAAAATGTGATCTGTCACAGAAACACAAAGGAAAGTTGCTGTGGAAACACTTTCTTTAGCCAGAAGTATTTTTCTCTATCCGTGATACTATTAC